TAATCATCGACGTCATTATAAATTTATCACGACGATAATTAACTACCGACGTGGTTAGTTGTTTCAAACGACTCAATAAATAAATAACCGACGTGGTTAGATGTTTCAAACGACACAGAATTAGTTAAACAGTTTTATAAGTGGTCAGTTAGTGAAAATCATACAAACAAAATCCTTTTAAGGAGACTAACCCTGGATTGTAAGGCATCATGAAAATCTGTTCACATCTGTTTTCTGAAGTCTACTGGTTACAATTCGTGATCTGTCAGTTAGTGACCCAGCGTTGGCACTAACTTGAGCAGGGTCGATAAAGCCAACCATGCTGCACATATTTGCTTCTCTCAAACGATCATATAAGCCCCTGAATATATAAAACAAATGACGGTTATTTTGTAAACAAACGACGTATTATACAATTTCACACGACGAACTGAAATAGAAACAGACGTTATAACTAATTTATCACGACGGTAAAAAAAGAACGACGTGGTTAGTGGTTTAAAATGACGCAATAATTAAACAACCGACGTCTTTTGCTATAATGTTTGATATTTGATAAGGACAAACCTCATATATACTGCAACCACAGTAGCCCCAATTTCTTCCATGCATGCAAATTGTGTAATATCTTCATGCAAGACGAAGGTACTGGGCTCTGCACCAAATACCTCCTTCTCAATTGTGAAGGTCATGATCTTCTCCTGAGGCTTTAGTGTCGTTTCCACATAACGACAAAGTGACTATAAGGAAGATGGCACCTCCACATTTGAATAATCAACTACTTCATTACCCTGTTTAAAGAAATAAAGCAAAATAAAATGACATGGTAATTCAATAAAAACGACGGTTTAAATTAAAAAACGTCGTCTGATTATAATTTAAACGACGATAATTAAATACCGTCGTTTTAGATAATTTATTACGTCGTAGAAAATAAATTCCGACGTCTAATGTGAAAACAAACGACGGTTTAAAGAAAAATATCGACGTCTGAAATGTGAAAAACAAATTAAAAAGGCAAAGTTATGAGAATATACCTCCTCGTCATGCTTTTCTTCATCTTGTTTTTCTTCTTTCTTCTCTGTATGTAAGAATTATGGACGTCTTAAAATTATTAAACGATGGTAAATAATAAACGTCGTGGTAATTGTCTATTACGTCGGTAAGGACTAAAACCGTCGTCTAAAAACCACAAAGTACAACGTCTAATGGCGTGTAAAACAAGTAAACTAAATACGACGTGGTATTTAAATAAAAACGACGGTTTATTTATAAAATCATCGTGGTATGGTTTTAAAACGACAGGTTTCTTCATAATAACGACGTTTTGATTATGCAGGGAATATTACAGATAGACGTTCTACATCAGGTTACTTCACATTTGTTGGTGGTAACCTAGTTACGTGGCGTAGGAAGAAGCAAAACGTTGTGTCTCAGTCCTCCGCAGAGTCTGAGTACAGAGGGATTGCCCAAGGGGTTTGTCAAATACTGTGGTTGAGGTGGTTACTTGCTGAAATTGGGTTTAGACCGAATGCTGCTACAAAGCTCCACTGTGATAATCAGTCTGCATTTGAAATTGCTAACAATCCGGTGCAACATGATCGAACTAAACATATAGAAGTTGATCGGCATTTCATTAAGGAGAAGTTGGAGCATAAGTTAATTTCTATACCTTTTGTGCCTTCTTCAGAGCAGCTTGCAGATATGTTGACCCATGCCGTGTCAAAGTGCCCATTTGAAGACTCACTTGACAAGTTGGGCATTACCGATATCTATGCACCAACTTGAGAGGGAGTGTTGGCGTGAGTCAACGTTCCTATTAGGAATAGAATTTATATTTTATTGTAATTATCTAATTTGAGTAGAATTAGGAGATTTTGTACATATTTCCTATTTGTAACCACTCTGTATGTAGTATATATATTCCTCCTTGAGAGAATAATATATATATCAGTTTTGAACTCTAATTATTTTGAGTGTATTTGTATGAGATATTTCTTAGAATGAACAAGAATTATTTGTAGAGATTTGTAACTTTCTTGTTTTGTTACCACGCGCGTAATATTAGTAGCAGCCGTCACCACCATTTCAATTTGGATCTACAAATTGTTTTATGTCCCATCATGTGAAAGAAACATGAACACCAATAAGAAAAACGAAAATTTTCCACCCACATAAAATACCTTTTGAGTCTTGACTATACTAATCCAAGTTGATTATCAGGACTTTTTTTTATTTATTATTTCTTCTTTTTTATCATTACCTCTTATACAAGATGGGTCTCCAAATGAAGCTGAATACCTGCACAAGGAGATGGCAATACTGGTTCCTTTAGAAAAGTTTTTGAAAGTTGGCGGAACAATAGGAAATGTGAATTTGAAGATGATAATAATTCGCAACAAAATTGCAATAATCAAATACAATAACAAATTTACATGAAATTAATGTAAATCAACAAGCACAAATGTTGTGGTTTCGACCCCTCCTTGGTTGATGAACATGAACACCACCTCCACCTTCTTCGTTGTAAGCATCGTGAATCCCAACATTCGTGCTTTCAATTGCGAAGAAATCATTCTCATAAATGTTGAAGGTCTCGTTGCTTTAATCAGTATTTTCTGCGTCATTATTTTCGTTTTGCTGGAGTTCTTTCTCCTTGGGGCTCTTGTCCAGAAAGCGTTGTAGGGCGATCAGGAAAGCGGTTTCTTACCCTCTTTTGGGTGCTCTAGTTCAGTTGTTCAGCTTCATATCAAGGTCGAGACCCATCTTATGTATATGCAAAGAGAAAAATGGAAAGATCTTCAAATAAGTAGAGACAAATACTCCAAAATCAGTTGGAAGACAATCTTTTAATAACTGGAATTCACAATTGTAAACTAATTACATAAATTCCTTAACCCCTGTACACACATAGAATCACATCAAGGAAAAGATCTTGAATCAACTAAAAATATTAATCATAATATATAGTACTTAACTGCCATTTGATGAAAGCTCAAAAGAAAAGTCTTCTATTCTCTGTAGAGTTCTTATGTTCAATTAGCAATAGGAACTAGATAATTTTTTAAGGTGTGTTTATAAGAGAGCATGTGACCTCCTCGTTTAGTTAATAATTTCAAGTTGATTATCAGGACTTTTTTATTTATTATTTCCTTTTTTATTTTTATCATTACCATATTATCCTCATTTAGTTAATAATTTAAATTCTTAATGTTTGTATTAACCAATGACATTTTCTAGTATTTTGAATATTTTACCATTCTCTACTTTTTACTTTATTTATATAGATAAAAATATTTTCTATACTTATGATATGTATTAAAATAAAAATTCATTATTAAACTACTGTAAGGCTACATGGGGGAGGTGGTCTGCTACAACAAGATAAGAGTGGGTGAGGTGGTCGGTCGGCTAGTAAAATATGAGGGGGTGAGGAAGGTGGTACGAAGATGAGAGAGTGGGTGAGGGTGGGTCAGGTATTGCTACCCTATCATGATTCATTTATGGTTTTAAAATATACAAATTCTACGATTTGAGGAATTTAAAACTTCAGCGATGGTGATGCTCAGAAGAACCTTATTATTTATTATTATTTCCTTTTTCATTGACAATAAAAAAATTATGTAAAAATATTTTATGTAGCTACGATATGTATTAAAATAAAAATTCATTATAATACAAGTGTGAAACCCTAGTAGGGTTATACAAGAAAATAAATAAAATTCTAATTACACAAAATTTGTACAAAAGAGAAAAAAAAGATAAAATCCAAATATAATAAAAAATAAATATCCTAAACGAATTTTTTGAACATGGTGATGATCACCGTAAAGTTCATTTTAGTGTTCGAAAATACATAATACGGTGGGTTAATGTTCATAAAACTTCATTTTTCACGAAAATCTGATGAACAAACTCTGCTTCTTCAATTTCCAATTTTTATGGTTCGCTGGCTTCTGCTTTTTTATTCATATATAATCCAAAAATCTGATGGCTTATTCTTCTGCTTCATAGAGCCTACTGTGCCTGTGCCTTGGTGAGAAATCGTTATTAAATATTTATGCATTTTGTTATATATATCTTCCATATTTCCAAATTCATATTTCATCCGTAAAATAATGCCACTGTTGCTGAATTTGAGAGAGAGGAGCATTAATATTGCATATTGACGACCATCAACATAATATATATTTTTATTTTATTCATCAAATTAATAGTACATATAATTAAGAAGGGAGGAGAGGCCCTAGCTAGCTACAGACCTCAGTGAGTCGTCAGTTCTGCTTCGTCTTCATCAGTACTGGATGCGAGTCAGTTTCTCCACCGGAGTCGACTAGTTTTTCTTTCCCGTGGCCTTTGTAGATGTGGGTGTTGCCAAACTCGAAAATTCCTACTCTCCCCGATTTTTTCCCCGTAATATTATTCCGAACGATGCTGAAAGTCATTGCCTCTTCCGCCCTTGTCTTTTTTCTAGGGTTGGAGAGTTTTGGTGCTCACTGATGGGAATTTCGAGTTGTTGCTGTTTTGTTGGTCAGTGTTCGCCTTAGAAGAATACTCAGAACCTTGTTTCTGATTACCAAGCGGAGGCTTCAGATATAGCCAGCCGGTGGACATTTTCACTGCTTGGTATCCTTGTCTGATTTGAAATTTATCTATATATATATGAAGGCGGAAAGCCTCAAAAGCCCCAGAATACCCTTGGTAACATAAAATACTAAATCGCATGATTTTAATAAAAATTGTAAAACAAAAATTAATAAAAGAAAAATAAAAACCGGCAGAATTTATTAATTTTTGCAAACACGTCCTGGAGAAACCTTGGGTGGTTCCTTCAAGTGTGGCTCATTCTATTATTGGTGAAAACATTACAGGAAGTGATGACAGAAGAATGGACAAGCCTAGATCTTTGCTATATCAGCTCTTATTTTTGTCCATCGAACACACACCATTAACCTTAAGGCTAAAATTAAAGATTAAAAATTAAAGCATGGAAGAACAGACTACGTTTTTCTTTTTATTGATCATGTCCTTCTTCAATTGGTTTATGCTAACTTCGATTCAGCTTCTTTTTCTCCCAAACTACAGGATCCAACACTTCCAGCCAGGTGTGGTGTTCCCAAAGTTGTGAAACCCAACATTACTGGCTCGTCCACGTGCAGTAATTGTATTGCCACGAATGTCGAGACCACCATCTTGGCCTTCCCCTTCAACTTGTACATTACCAAAGTTTGACGCTCCAACATTCTGAGCGTTCTGGTCTGCCACAATATTATTGTCACGAATCCTGATGCCGCCGCCTCCTTCCTGATCTTGCCTATTCACTTGAGCGCTTTCTCTCGGGGGTTCTTGTTCAACAAGCGTTCTACCACGACCAGGAAAGGATCTACCGTCTCCCGAGGGTTCTTGTTGGTTCAATATTACTTCAGTTCGAGAACCTTGGGCATAAATTTCATAAGTGGACAACTTAATATTTGAAACTGATTACATAAATTCCTTAGCCATACGGACATAGAATCACATTCACATCAAGGAGAAGATATCTTGAATCAAATAAAAATATTAATTATAATAATACATACCTGCCATTGATGAAAGCTCAACCAAAGTCTTCTATTCTTGTGCTCGATAGATAGCTAGCGCGTTGTATATATAATATTATGAAAAGGTTTAGTGTCAATTGAGAGCATGGACCACCTCTTGAAAATGGAATAAGTTACTATTATATATGTGGATTTATTTATTACTCTTTGTTATATCTGCAGTATTCCTATTGATCAACTTGGAAAAGTCTTCCCAGCAAAAAATAAAAAATGGAAAAGTCGTGTGAAAAAAGGACTTTGTTTGTGTGGAGAGAAAGACTATTATCAAAGAAACCCTAGCTTCCTCTCTTCCAAAAATTATTCCTACAGCTGTTTTCACTTTGAGGGGGAGGAAGTCACTGTCCTTCCTCCCCACTCCCATTTTCTCTTCCTCCCTTCTCATCCTTCCCTATTTTTAGAGACATAAAGTTTCCCTTATTTATCTTTGCTTTGTTATAATTTTCCTCTAACCATCACATGCTGCTTCGTCTTGACGTCAGATCTCCAACATTATCCTTTTTGCATTTTCTTTATGTTTGGAATAAGTCGCAGAGACTCTTTGGGTTCTCTGTATAGTTTTCACCTCTCATTTTGTGAGAGCTTTCCACATTTTATTTTTCCTTTGATCTGTACACATTGGCCGTCTCCACGTTTTATCCTGTCTTCACATCACATGTCGCTACGAGCCTAGTGACAATCCTTATGTGCTTTGTCATTTGGTGCTCTACAGATAGATAATGGAGGGTTATTATTTAATTAAGGTCATTTTTTATTATTATGATTATAAATTGGGACCTCTTTTATTCTTAGAAAAAGAAATACTACTAAACCTTAAGGGCATAATTACTATAGTCAGAGTGAGAATGAATCCAATGAATATGTATTGGAACAAGTCATTTCCATTAAAATAAGGGCATGTTTACGTATCAGTAATGGGTATGGAAGGAAAGGGAATGATTTCCATTCTTGACTTCCCCTGCGTTTACTTGCAATCAGGAATGAAAAAATAAGTGGGCCTTACCTCAAAATCCGTAATCACGTCCCATCAAAACTAGGTATTAGATAAACTAAGGGGAGGTAGTCGATACGATTCTCATTCCTGTTTTCCCTTATTAACTTCCAAAAATACCTTTACCACTTTACCATAATTCCAAAACACCCCAAACCCTAAAAAAAATAAAAACTCAAGCCAAGAAGTTCAAAGACTCTCCAAGGTGTTATTGGAGTTTATTTTTTTGTTTGAAATTGGCTCTGGACAAAGGTGTTATTAAAATTATCATTGAATTGGGGTCTTGCTGTTCATCTTGTTTAACATATTGATTCCTCATGTTTACACCATCTTACTAGTTTGCTGCAGGATTAGTTTGGTCTCCTTAGCCAATTTGAGAATTATATATGTGTTGTGGTGAAAATGTGTGGGGCATTTAGTAATCAAATTAATTTGGATTCTGATTCATGAAAATTAGTAAACAATAACAATGAGAATCAACCCCATTCCTTTGTTAATTTCATATGTTTAGTAAACAGCTTAATGAGAATGATTCTTTTCATACCGATTCAATACTTCATCGATTCCTAAATTCTCTAATTCCTTACTTTCTTCATTACTGCTACGTAAACATGCCCTAAACTGTTTACTAATTGTCAGGAATCATAAAGAAATTAAAACTGTATTCTCATTAAAATATATACGTTATCATGCATTGAAATGAAGAACGTATATTTTATTTTATTTTTTCAAAAACCTACTAATACAACTTTTTCAAATGGAAAAAACAAGAGATATTTAGTCATATACCCATTCTTAGCACTAAAACTATAAATAAACCCTACACCATTTTATTTCTATAAAAAACAAAAAAAAAAACCTAAAAAATGACAACTGGCCCTATTGAATTTAATTTTGATTATTAAATTACTTTGATGCCCTATTGAGTGTTTTGAGCTTTTTTTATGAGGTTTTGGGATTGAGTTTGTTTTAAAAAATCAATGGCAGTTTTGTAGTTTAAAAGAAGTTAAAAGCCTTTTTGTTATGTTGTAAATGAGATTTTGGTGTATTTCTAAAGTCCATTTCATATAAGGTTTTTTTTATAATTTGGGCTCCTATATTGGGTATAATAGTGAATCTCCCCAAAAACTATTTCACTGACAATAAAAATATTTTATGTAGTTATGATATGTATTAAAATAAAAATTCATTATAAATATAAACTATAATTGCCTGTGATCTGACACATTATATATTATACTTGCACTCCTACTGAGAATTGAGGGGCTCAAGCATCTTTGATGCTTTTCAGTTTGTTTAGCGTAATATTACAACAGCTTCCCCTCTTTTTAGCTGTAACGTTAGCAAAGATACTAGTGATATTAATTATTGGAGCAGTACAAAAGCTTGAAAATAGGCGTGATCTTAAAAACTTAGAACCCAGGTATTGCCATCGTATACATTTTTAATTTATGATTTTAAATACGAATTCTAAAATTTAAGGTATTCAAAACTTCAACAGCAATGGTGAGTAGAACAATACGGGTAAAATATTTTTTGATGTATTTCCATTCTCCAAAATGAGATATTTATAATAAAAATATGTAAATTCTAGTAGAGTTATATAAGAAAACAAATAAAATTCTAAGAAAAAAAAAATCCTAATAAAGGCAATAAGTATATTAATCAAACTAGGATCTCGCCAACATGGTGATGATCACCATCAAGTTTGTTTTAGTGTTCGAAAATACATAATACGGTCGGTTATAATACACCAACTTTTTTTTATTTTTTTATTTTTTATAATTATAACAAGAGATTTGTTATATCTATTAATGTTCTTTAAACTTCATTTTTCACGACAATCTGACGAACGAACTCTGCTTCTTCATTTTCCATTTTTATGGTTCGTTGTTTTATTCTTCTGCTTCATAGAGCCTATTGTGCATGTGCCCTGTTGAGTAATCGTTATTAAATATTTATGCATTTTGTTATATCTACTACGTTTTACGATTTGTGCGAGGATATTTTGCGCGACAAATAGAAATTCGTAGCACAAAAACACTTGCGCGATGTAAAAACTCATTCGTAGCTCAAACTATCGCGGATAGTAATTTTATATTTCAAAACTTGCGTGAAGAAAACTGTCATTTCGAAAGAACACTTAGCGGGACAATAAACGTTATTGTCACATAAAGTTAGCAAGAAAAAACGCAAGGTTATTTTATTTGGCCGCAAACACTTGCGTGACGAAAATTATCGCCACGAAAGCACACTTTGCGACAATACACATTATTGTCGTTTAAAGTTAGCAAGAAAAATGCGCGGTTATTTTATTTGGCTGCAAACACTTGCGCGATGACAGCTATCGTAGTGAAAGAACACTTAGTGCGACAATACATGTTATCGTCGAGTAAAGTTAGCAAGAAAAACGCGAGGTTATTTTATTTAGCGCCAAACACTTGCACGACGACAACTATCATCGCAAAAGAACACTAAGAGCAACTCGTGTAGAAAAACGCGGGGTTATTTTATTTGGTGCCAAATACTTGAGCGACGAAAATGGTCTTTTGCGGAATGAAAGTCATATTTTGAGTGACGCAAGTTTGAGCGACGAATTCTTTTTCGTCGTGCAAAATCCTTCATCATATAATCTGGATTCAACCATTGCAGAGGCAAACTGCAAAGAAATTGTAGATTGCCTCTACCTCTGCTGGGAATTCGCTACATTCATGAGGTAAGTATTTTTTGTCGTTAGTTTAAAAGTATTAATGTAAATTTATACTATACAAATTTATAAATAAACCCAATCCTAGACATGTATTTATAAAAAAACCCAAGCACTATTTAAACATAGAAACACACCCAAAATCAACCCCAAAGTCAACTTTTTGGGTGTGTTTATAAATGGGTTTTGAGTGTGTGTAATGATGGGTTTTGGGTGTGTTTATATGTTTAAATAGTGCTTGGATTTTTTTATAATTTCAACTCCCATTTTGGGTGTTTTAGTGAAACTCCCTATATACTAATGCCATTAATTTCGTTGTCTATAGGGATATTATGTGTGATTAGCGATTGGTGGAGAACGATTGAGAATGTATTTTCTTCATTTTATTTTTAAAAAATATAAAATTAATTGCATTATGTTAAACTTAGTTTGTTATGTTTATATTGTTTTGTGAAATTATATTTGTATTATGTTGTTATATTGTGCGTGATGTAGAACAATGTGTTGTGATGTACGAAGTTAATTGAAATTAACTTCGTACTTTTTTTTATATTCAGTAAAATTTCGTTTCCCGTTTGAGGATTAATTTGATTTCGAGCATGGATGCGAAAGTATGACTCCGGTCCAATTAATTCTTGAATTGTCTTATTATTTGGACAGTTTGGGAATGCATAGTCATGATACGTAATTTACGGCTATAGGATTAGATTTTGATTGTGGAGATTTTGGTGTCATCTCTGTATGTTCTTCGGGTGGAACATACGTATTTTATACCCGCGGTACACCTCAAGACATGTATCGAGATGTTGTCAAAATTCATCCACGTCGAAATCTAATCTTATGCAGCCATAAATCACGTGACATAACTATGCATTCCCGAATGGGATAGGGCCCTTACGGGAGGCATAAGGTAACATTATGATTTTGTATGAAGTTGTTGTGATTATGGTTCTAGAAATTATGAGCAGAAGGTGGATACAGAACTCGAATAGATGCGCAGACAAATATTTAGATGAAATCGAGGATTTTATTGACTTTGCACGTACACACAACTCGGGTGCAACTATAATCCGGTGTCCTTGTAGGAGCTGTAACAACACCTTATGGAAGACAATTGAAAATGTCTGACTTCATTTAGTAAATAATGGAATGATTGAGACATATAGCACTTGGAACCATCACAGGGAACAATTAGACAATGCTTCGTCTTCAAAGGCCATAAGATTCTAAAATATTAAATATAATTTAAATTTTATAAGCTTGTGCCTACTTTAATAAATATTAGCCCACTGCATCAAATAAATATACCCACACATGCATTGTTTTTCTTTTTATCGCTAATATAATAAACTAATAATAATAGCCAAATCTAAGTAAAGTAA